CCTGGGCTCAGCGCCGTCCCCATGGCCGTCACGCCCGCCGCAGTCATGCTGTTCATGGCGCCCGCCGAGCCACCCGGCATGCCAGCCACAGCGCCGGGACTCAGGCCGGCCCCCAGGCCCGGGTTGGCGTAGGACATGTTGAAGGAAGCCGGGGTCATGTTGCCGCTGGTGGTCATGGTGTTCATGGTCATGTAGGTGTTCATGGAGTTCATGGAGCCCAGGCCCGAGTTCATGTTGCTGACGGGGACAGAGGAGTAGGCCTGGAGCGGAGACAGCGAGGAAGAGCCCCGAAGGGCGGGGTTAGTGGTGGGCGCTGGCCACCGGGAGGAACCCCGGGAAGTGGAGAGCATTTCTGCAAAGCACCTGACCAGACTCCCGACCCCCACGCCTGGGGCAAACTGTTAGGGCGCCCTCCCAAGACCCAGCAAAGATGTCCTGCCCAGTAGGGGGAAAATCCTAGCGCAGCAGGCATGAAAGGCAAGCGCTCATAGAAAATATGTCCCCAGGAAGATGTGTAATCGCCTTACAAACCAGGCTTAGGGGCTGCTTCCAGGGCCTCTCCAACGCATCCTCTATCCAAGACATTATCCCAAGTCTCTATTTCAGACCAGTCTTGGCAATGAGTCCTTGTAGGTAAATTGTCTTTAAAACTCCTAAAATAGAGTTAATGACTGACCCTTAAGGTGCTTACTCATTTCACCCTCAGGGTGCAGTGAGTTTCACGGTGCCAGACAGGCCCACTAGGCAGGCAACAGGGCACCAGCTCCAAGATCACCTTGCCCCAGCCTGCCAGGCTCGGCTGCCCACACTTGGGTCTTGGCTGTGCCAGGGAGCTGTTCATGAAACTCCCTGATGGAGCAAATCATTCAAGGCCAGATCACCCCCTGAAGTCATTTATTTCCTAGCAACTAACTGGCTTTACTGTCTTAGGAATTTTTCCCAAATGATGACTTTTTTGTCATTACATTTAGAAATAGTGTTTTTCACATACTTGGAACAACTGTACTATTAAAAGTGAAGCAAACTAAGTTAAATAAGTTTTGGATATATAAAACGAAAAATAGGTCAGTAACAGTGCAGGCCTGGAGCGGTGCATGGTAACATCAGTGCATCTACTTAACGTGACTCTGCATGCACACTTTTGCAAGCCATTCAAACACTCACCCTAATTTTGTTGCCGATTTCCAGTCCCCTAACATTAGACAATTCTGGTGATACAATTTGTCAAAACAATTACATTTCCCCCCACGTACCAATGTATTGCTGCTGATCATTTCAAAGACTGGCCTTTGAAACTTATAGGAGTAGTTTTGAATAACTGAAAAATTTCAAATATAATTCTACTCTTATTTTCTCTTAATGTTATTCTACTTCCTAATTCTCAGCTGTACCATAGTAAGAAAGCTTTTTCACTAGGGATCTTAATTGACTCGTGGTTAAGATGACTACATACAGATTAAACTCTGGGAGAGTTCTGAGCTTTTAACATAATCAACAATCTAAAACTCATCAATAGTAAAGTGTGAGCACATTAGGTATTTTAAAGATACAGAAGCTGGAAATATTACAACTCCTTTTCAGACAATTTAATAAAGAAATGATGATATTCTGAAATTTATTTTCATCAGCAAATATGACTCCATTTGAAACATAAGAGATGAACAAATAGATTTAAGTAGGAACATCTCATCAACCATGGTATGCAAATAAAATCAGAGGTACATTTGTGTATATAGAAACATACAAATCTAAATAATTTAATTACCATGAAAATATTTCTCGATACTGTGTTTTTCTGTCCACGTTTTACATTATTTTTTACTTTGGGGTTTATTTTCTTTTCCTTGTCCCCAAATTATCCAAGGCAGTTTCAATACTGTTTTCAATAATGCTTGTTAAACTTTTTTGGGGGGGAGGCGATTGCCAGTTTTCAGAAAAAAATACTTTTACTAGATAATGGTCCTTCCTGTACCTGGTTCTCCTCCTAGTCCTTTTGTGCACATTGTACAATAAACCCCATGAACGTGCCACTAAGGGGACAATGAAGAGAAACAGGTTCTCAGCCCCAGTTCTGAAGGAAGATTCGGCTCGCACCAGCGCCACCCAGCGGTTCTAGAGAAGAATGAGCACACTTCTCCCCAAACAGGGCATTTGAAGAACAAGTTTCATAAAATTTAGGAATCATTTCATTATTAAGACGCACAACTTAGCGGCAGAATGCTTTCATCAGAAGACGCCTGCTAATTCAATCGCGGGACAAAGAGGCTGCCCTGGTGGCGTGCTCAGGCTTTCTCAGAGTTGCTTGCAACTCGTGCCGGCGCCCCGCCCGCCAACCCGCGGCACCCGGGGCCGGGCTCTGGCTCCCACTCTCTGCAGGAAGAGTCAAGTACTTCCCAAAGCGGGTGTTTTCAAAGCCCAGAGTTTCCTAAAACTTTCTCCTGCTATGAGGCTGGGACCGAGCGGGACAGCGGGGCCGGCTCCGAGGCCAGCCAAAGCTGGGCCGGGGCCACACCAGGCGGGCAGGCGGCCGAGGCGCTGAGAGGCACCCCTAG